AACTACAGCAGCAACAACAACAACTACAACAACTACTACTACAACTACTACTACTACTACTACTACTGCTTCCACCACTACTCCTACTACGACGACTACTCCTACTACTTCTACTGATACTACCACTACCAGTACCGCCACTGCCACTACCATTACCACTAAAACAACCACCACGACCACGACGACAACAACGACTACGACGACGACAACTACGGCTACGACAGCTAGAATTGCATGGGTCCGTTGAAGTGTGCCCAGGAGCGCTGGAAACTTGAAGCAGGAGGCGCGGGGATGAGCTCTTCTATCGCAATGGGTTGTCCAAAGGACCATGGGGTCATCTTTTCTCTTGCAGTCCGTGGTAGCAAGTGCTGCTAGCTGTAGGCCCGTTCCACGTTGGCGACCATGGCGTGGGCTTAGGGTTGAAGCGGCGTTTTCGGTCTGAGCATGCTGGCGGAAGGTTAGATGCTTCTTTCATGTCGCCGACCAACAGCCTTGTTCCTTATTGTCTGCGCCTGTTCTACAGCATCGATGTCGTGCAAACATGACGTCGAATCCACTTACTGATACTAGCTGTCTTTGCTTGCTGGTTAGGGAAGAAAATACAAGGCTAGCTGCTAGCTGTTGACCGTTGGTCCTTTTAGCAACTTCAGACCTGCTGAGAACAGGCCGCAGGCGCAGTGCTTAGACTGTCTTGGGCAACTGGCCACGGCCGTCGTCACCGAACGCGACACAAGCACGCCCGGTACCCTTCAGGGAGCACCCCCCGAAACAGCCCCGCTCTCGGCCATGTGAGCGCTTGAAGCGGGTTACCTCCAATAGAGAAGACTTCACCTACGTTTCCTATACGTTTGGTCTTCGCGCTGCAGGCGGGCTGCTACGAATGCCTGGGTCAACCCCTGCGGGCAGCTGAGCGTCTGAGTGCCAGCAACGAAGCAGACGCTCGCTTCAAGCAAGGTTTCAGCACAGGTCCTCGGGTATCCTGCGATACTGAAATTCTACAGGGCTGCAGAGCGCTGCTTCTCCCAGGAGCATCTCAAGCAAGCTGCAGCCCTCTACCGTGATCACGAGGAGCCACGCGTTTTCGAACGGCAAAGGATGAACCCTCTGAGACTCGAAAGGGTGAAACGGCGAAGAATCGACTCCAGGGCAAGCTCATCTGCGGGAAGTTCATCTAGAGGCGTCTCGTTTCCACAACGTGGTGCAGTGCCCTGTCTCAGGGGTCTCGTGGTAGATGCAGCTATTATGAGGGCTTCAATGTTGCAGGAGCGTGAGGCGGAAGCGAAGTGCTACGAAAGCCTCCTGAAGATGCTCAGCAGAAAGCATGATGCAGTAGCCGGCTTCTCTTGCGAGTTAATCCACCCTGTAAAAAGTTGCACCGACAAAGGATGGATGACCTGCCGGATCGCCAGCATATGATGCGCACGTGCGCCAGTAAACACAACTTGTTGCACTCATCTGCCCGTAAATATACATACAGGTACACAAATCTATATATATATATATTAATAATACAGATATATGTTTTACATGCATACATACATACATACATACAACAAGTATATACACATACATGCACATCTCACACATACACACACACACATATATATATATATACAGCAAAGACACATGCACATGTGTTGAACAAGTGGTAACAATATCTTTTTTCACTGACAATAATTATAGTACGAATACTAGTAGTAACATATTTATTATTATTCTCATGATTATTGCTTTGAGTAGTAGTAGCAGCAGCAGTGGTAGTCGTAGTAGGAGCAGCAGCAGCAGCAATATTTTGTTATTACTGTTACTGGCCCTTGTAATACGCATTGGCATTGTCACCATGGTGCTAAACCCTTGTTCCGTTATTTGTCTGGTGTTTGTATAGTTCTGCAGGAACCCTGAAGATCAAACGCGGAACGCTTAATACGGGGTCCGGTCGGGTATTCTCTGATCCCCTACTCAGGAACCAGAAAAGAAGCTTTTTGAATTTTGCAATGATTTGCAAGGGAAGGTTCAGGCGGACATGTGCTGAAATTCTCTCGATCCTTTCCACTCTGGGTGCTTCTTCCACAGGAGTGCGACATGTGTAGGGCACCGCTCCAAGGAGTGGAAATCCTCAAACGGGAAGACACACTTATGCACAGTAGCTGCCGATAAAGTTTTCATCGACCGCCGCCGCCTCGGCCGTCGGAATTTTCGACGGCTCGAAAGCTCTCGCACTGCAGATTCACGTTTTCGATGACATGCCAAAGCATGTGAACTTTCGTGGTCATTGTATACCTCAGTTCGCCAACATCCAGCGACAGCCGTGCTAGGCGAGAATAAGCCGCCAAAAATTGCCTGCCAGCAGATGCTGTCCTTGTTGCCTGGACAGTCTCAACCCAGAGGTCAGCAGCATACAGCAGCTTCATAAAGAGGTTCAAAGCACAGCTTGAGCTCGCGATCAATGCTTGAAGTTGCAAAACCACTCCACGAACTGACAAAGAGTCATCGTCAACTGGCTCTTGTTCCAGCGAGCGAGTGAGTCCTTTGCCTCCGAACCGTACGCCAGTGTGCAAGGATCTTCGTTCTGGTGTAAACTTGCTTACGGAGAAAGTGCGGTTCATTTGCTTTCCACGGAGGCTGCTGGCAACGGGGACCCACGCTTTGTGCCAGAAACAGCTCTTCTGCGAGAAGTTGATCGCCTCATGCCACATTCAGTCGGATCTGATAGGTAAGTGGAATGATCTGATCAATGTCAAGGCTCTTAGCGTGCCTTAATTCGTCGAGGTATGGGAGGATCACAGTCAAGGCCCTCGCTCTTCGAACATCAATATTAGATCTTGGTTTTCTTTTGAAAAGATTCATGAGATCGAAACCACTGCCAGGGGCGACAGCATTGCTGAGCGTTTTTAGTGAAATGGCACGATTTCAACTTCGCCATGACTCACAGACATGCACTATAAGGACAATCACCCTTGGTTCAAGATCGTCGAGTATTCAACAACCGAGATCAGCGGCAACACCGAGAAGACACTCTTTGTCAGAGATGCGAACGACAGAATGCGGTCGAGGTGTTCTGTCAGGACACCACGATTTTTGACGGCCCAGAGATCCGTCGAGTTGCATTGGATGTGGGTGCAAATGCACATTGCGGCAGTCAGCATGGGCAATGCCCGACTATGGCAAACTGAAGATGGTCGAACAGTATGCATTGGCATCTGCCGGCTACACCTACACACTGAAACTTCAGTTTAACAAAGCCCGAGGTGACCTTGTGGAGTATTTGAAGAAATGTGCCCCGATTGCGTATATACGAGGACAACGGCAAGACCGTGTCAGCGCATGGTGGCTTGAAGGTCTCTCCGTCGAATGCTCTGGGTGCGGTTGTTGACCGCATGCGTGCCAGTGTCGTGCCATGACTGCTTGGATTGATTTCTGAACAATCTTGCAAGCTTTCCGTTGGCATGACATCCGAAAGTGCCGTCGCTGGGTTTTATAGACCCCGGGCGATCGGGGGCCTTCCATGATGTGGCAATTCCGGCCTTTACTGACAAACCCCCACCGACTCCAATGACATCCCTGATACGTTGCCCATAGATCGCCATAGATGCAGGGGGAAGCGCATTTTCCTGACCACCTGCTCGACCTGTCCAGTGCTGTTGGCTGTTGGAAGCATTAAGCCTTCTTCATCCTCCAAGAGCTTTCCTCCACTCAGAGCTTTCCCCCCATCTGCGCAATCGCTCGGACCTTCCTTGGTGCGTTGATTTTGTCCGGCCCTGGGCCCTTGCCTATCCATCTGCAAGACCTCTCCGGACCCCCAATATTACAGGGTTGATCAAGTGTGTGTTGATAGAGTTCTGATAGAGCAAAGCTGTTTGATAAAGTTGGTCTTGATGGAGCAATGCCATGTGTGATACAGAAGACTCGTCGGGGAGTCTGAATTTCGAAACTCGCCTGTTGTTGGAATCACATTCTGAAAATGCCCTGGCCCCGCAGACTTTGCAGCTGTCCTACTGTAGGTAGTCGGATGCGAAGGTTTGGCGCTTCGTCAGAGTTACTCAGCGGGGCGCGCAACCTCTAAATGAGTTGTACACTGACATGAAAGTGTTCAACAGGTGTATGTGTATGTATATTGTGTGTATATAAAATGCATATACATCAACACTGTTTGTATAAGCATGATACCTTATACATCATCTGAAGATAGTCTGTTACAGAATGCCGGCGAGTCATGTTCGATCTTTTTTGCATCCAACCTATTGCACAATGCTCCCGTCTCCGTCACTTTGGAGCGCGGGGAAGAAAATGGAAGGGTCTCGTGTCAAGGAAGCGGAAACAATTCTTCGCAGACTTTAGCGATGAAATGCCGGACGAAGAAGCAGCACCTTGGCTGCATCAAAGCGCGAGGGCCGCTAGGGGTGCAATCGCATCCTGCTGGCAGTGGTGAGTGCTGAACTTCAAGGGATGCCGAGCTACCTAGTACACGAAGACGTCATTGTGTTTCAACAACATGTAAGGCAGTGAAGAACCGGCCAATGGCGCCACACTTGTGCAAACAGCCCGCCAAAGTTAAGATTCCATTCCTGGCGTTTTTGTCGCCAAGGGGGTGCGCGGCATTTTGACTGCGACATCTAGGGCCGGAAATGTGCCTCGCGTAAGGCTCTCGTTTATTGGGCTGAGCTCGGCGAGAACACGCTGCATTTGTTCGAGCTTTTCCTGCAGTGCGGGAGGCTTGGTTGCAAGTCTCTTGACGAGTTCGAAGCTTGCATGGGAAGAAGCATGCAGGCTTTCCGGGATGCCTACCTCATGACCTAGTGACTATAGCAGATGTCTTCATTCTTGTGCAAGCGTCTCCGACACGAAGGAAACCCGTGGCTGCCGTTGCGGCAGCTTCAGAGTTGGGTCGTCCAGAAGAAGCATTGCAGCTGCTCCACAAGTGCGGCTCGCCGAGGTGAGTAGGTTTGGTTTTTTTTGTCTGGGGCAAGAAGACAAGAGTGATTGTGGAATGGAATACTGGAGGTATTTTAACGGATTGTTGGCTCCAAGCTCTGTCCTACTGAGATTTGGTTTGTGGCTGATGGTTAGATGGGGCCTTCCAGTCCCAGGGCTGAGGCGGCATGTTGGCTGACGGCCTTCCTCATTGAAGTCTCTAGACTATGGAGCAGACGTAATGAGGCTGCGCTTTCAATTAAACATGGGTGATGCTGGCAGCTCTTGTGAATTTCCCTTTTTCTTGTCGGGCCTGACCTCGTTTGATTTAAGACAAGTTTGCTGGCCCGAGGTTTGGAAGTGCAGCGAGTATAGCTTCGCATCTCAGATAGTCTTCCAGGCGAAAGCCCAAACTTAGACGTCGGGGGACGGAGTCGCCAAAAAGGTCGAGGCCTGTGCGCGAGCTGTCCCGCGCGACGGGGAGAATCCCAAGACCTTTGGTGAAGAAGAACCAAAAAAGAAGAATCAACACGCGGACCGACATGAGGACAGACGGTGAGACCTATAGCGACAGAGGGAGAAAGGTGCAAGCAATCAAGAGAAACAAGTCGACCGAGAGACAGACCCAGCGACCTGAATGAGTTAGTGAAGTGTTTGTTGAGCATGAGCACACTGAGTGTTCTGGTCGTTGGTGGGAAGGCACACCACTCCGCCAGCAGGTGGTGCACTGGCCACATTCAGCTCTCTCTCAAGGAAGACTGCATCCGAACACACAGCATGCAGACCCCACACCGTCTGTGTAAGACCGGATTACAAAAATTCTCGAACATTGACACGTTTAACTCGGACTGCCCCGGCCCTGCCCTCTGCAAGCCGAGGCCAAGTATCTTGGGAGGCCTTGCAAGTGTCGCAGGGAAGCAATGCCGCAGCGTGTGGTTGATGCTAGCTGCTAGCTGACTGCTGAGTAGTGAGTCGAAGTCACGCTCATGTGCTTTTCGGCGGTTTCCGCTAGCGATTTTCCAATGCCAAGAAATCCCCGTGCCCTAGAATGTGGAGATTGGGCCTAGATATGCACGCGACCATAACTCGGGTGAGAGTCAACTGCCCGCAGAGGACTGGCACTGTTATACTTTGGATATTCTGATGACGGCAGTGCAGCAGAAGAAGCTGAGCTGCTCGAGAGCACTGATCTTTCGTGCATACAACGTACTTGAGTTTTTCCATATTGATAGCTTAGAGGCAGACAGAAGCAGAGGCGACAATCAAGCGCGGGGACTTGGCAAAGCCAGCCGGACACTTCGAAGCTCTTTGCCTGAAGGCAGGGGTACACATCCAGGGCTCCTGCCTGCAGATTTGTGTGCTTGTATATATACAACTAGTTAGTATTATAGTATTATTATTATTACTATTATATATATATATGTACATATACACTATTGGTGGGGGGGGGGCCCCCCTCCACCATATGGTGCTTCATCTCCTCTTCTTACCCGATGGTGTCAGGACAGATTACAGGTGCATGCTTATCTTGCTGTCAAGAGACACGCGAGTAGCCCCTCCCCCCACCATATGGTGCTTCATCTCCTCTGCTTACCAGAAGGTGTCATCAGAACAGGTTACAGGTGCATGCCTATCTTGCTGTCAAGCTACAGCGTGAAGTTGAGACACGCGAGTAGGACACACCGCATTAACTTGGCGAAGAAGCCATTCCACAAGGCATGATGCCCGAATACAACCTCCTGCAACATGCCACAATCTGCTCTTTGCAGTGCTTTGCTCTAGCTTTCGTAGCCCAGTTCTCAAGTATGTGTATGTGAATGTAGTACGTATGTAATGTCATGTCATGTCATGTAATGTTATGTAATGTAATGCAATGTAATGCGATGCAATGCGATGTAATCCAACGTAATGCAATGTAATGTAATGTAATGTAATGTAATTAAACATGTAATTACATGTAATCAAGAATGTAATTGAAAATGCAATTAAGCTTGTACTTAAAAATGTAATTAAGAATGTACTTAGACATGTAATTAAAGAATTATGTAATGTATGTATGTATGTATGTATGTATGTATGTATGTATGCATGCATGCATGCATGCACGTATGGATGGATGGATGTCCGTCTGTCTGTCTGTCTGTCTGTCTGTCTGTCTGTCTGAATGCATGTATGCATAGTCCCCGAGCAGTGTGGTTCAAACTGTGGGGTCTTGCATTGAGAGTAAGGAGAATTGTCTGGTGGAGTCGTGCGGAAAAACATTGCCCGGGAGCGGCGCCACAGCAGCCGTCCTATGCTTGCTTTACAGAGGATCCCGTCCCCCGGATAGCCAGATTCATTGCACATTCCGATGCGGCCACTTTTTGACGTCGAAAAATTGAATCTCACCAGGACCGGGACATGGGGCCCAAAGTGGGGACGCATGTAATGTTGGACGTCCTCCTGAAGCGGCCCGTATACTGCGGGAAACATAAGCATCATGCTCCTGAATCTCGCCAGTACTTGGAAGGCTGTGCGATTTTTTGCTTGTCCTCCTGAATCTGCTGAATCAGCCAACACTGGGGGAAAGCATTTTTGTCTGTGAAAGCATGTTGAAAGTGTCCTGGTGGTCTCCTGGTAGTCGTTGTTGCATGGTTTCCTGGTAATCTCGCCCGTAGTCGTAAATATTGCCCAGCACGGAAACGATGGTTAACTTTAGGGTGGCTCCTAATCGGGGCGAAGAAGTCAGACAGGTTGGGAGGGCGGGCTCCTACTCTGTGACGAACAGAATTATGCCAAGCCCGTGTTTTGGTCTAAACGTGTTAGAGGGGGTTAGCGCATCCACTTAAGTTATGCAGTAGCAAGCTCAGACCACCGAAGGCCATGCCAGCTTTGAGCGAGTGTGTGAGTCGAAGTTACGCAGAAAATAAGTGGTAAGCTAGACTTAAACTTTGGCATGTATGCAGAAGTTGTTTCTTGGCCCGTGTGATAAACTGCGTAGGCCCAGGGGCTTATGCAGAAGTTATGCAGAAGTCGCCTGTCTATGCATCAAGTGCAGGCCACCTCTGCAATAGAAGCAAGGTCAGGGGAGAGGCAGGACAGCGAAGAGGAGGGAAGTGATATTTTGGGGTGGGGCCGGCTGAAAATGGGGGGAGAGGGGTGGGATGGAGCAGGGCCACCTGTTTGGTGGCATGAGTCTGGAGTTTTGTAGCCACACCGTTGGAACGTACGGCGGCTTTCACAGTTTTGCTTTGTTTGGGTTGATGTGGGATGGGGTCCCCTCCGGGACAGGGGTGGGGCGTGGCCGGCGGGGCGGGCGAGGGATCTATAGCACTATGTCTGGGGCACACGAATTATGATGGCAGTTTGTTTTTTGGATAAACAGCTGTACAGTTCTGCACCTGCTCTATTGAACTTAGCGTTTAAGCATCTCATCACCTCCATAATCCTATGTGACGGGATACTACATAGTCCCCACCCCGCTGCCGAAACAGGGCTCGCGAGAATTGGTAGCGCATATATATATATGTATATGTATGTATGTATGTATGTATGTATGTAATGTATGTATGTATGTATGTATGTATGTATGTTTGTATGTTTGTATACGCATCCGCAGGTAAAGGGGTGACGCGGACACCCACGTTCTAACACGCAATGGGGTGTCAGGTTCGATGCTTTTTGTGTTCCTCGAGCTGTCTTTAGCAGGATCCTTTGTTTTTGTTCTTGGGCTCGCGCTTTGCACTTGTTGCGCAGCTGACTGAGGCGAGTCAGATTCCTGAAATCCTCTCCGTCGCATGTGCCGTGGTAGAGAGAGCCTGGGAGGCGCACTTCAAGCGCGGGTTCGCCTTGACTATGTCGATGCTGTGCTTCGCCGCCTGGGCGGCGATGGTGGCAGGGAGAAGCTTGCGCTACCGTGCTGCAGGATTGGAGAGTCCGTAATGAGTCTGCAACGAGTCTGACTTCGCACATGATGCACGGAGTGCACGGTGATGCACAGCGCATGAGAGACGCCGAGGCTGCGCTCGTCTTACACCTCGGTCGAAGTTGCCCCAGAGCTCAACCTGTGCTTCGGAGAAGAGCTCGCGTTTGCAGAGTGTGCTCAGGCAATGGATGCTAAACTAAGCTTTGTCAGCCTGATTGTCAGCAGTCAGCAAAGGGTACTGAATTCAATGATTGTTTTCCCGCAGGACCTGCAGTGCATCACGATTCCATTGTTTCCGGTCTCGCTTCTGATTCTCCATATACCTACCGCCTAGGCTAGTACTCTCGAGCACATGCACCCGCGTGATCGCCTCTCCTGTTTGGCGCATATGCGTCACCATCTGATCAGGTCAAAGCTAGGAGTCGTCGCTGCTGTGAGAATCCTAGCAACGTTTTTCGTACGGACAGGTCGCAGATGCCACCTGGACCTTGCAGCAACTTGAGTGGTACATCAACGAGGCTAGGCCGGGCGCTCAAAGGATGCACAAGCGAGATGACTGAGCAGACCTCAGCAGGGGAAAAGCACGGGCAGGGGCTATCAGCTCAATCTCAAGTCTGGTTCGACGATGCTGTGAAGATGTCGTGTCAGGTTTCGCAAGGAAACCAGATACGGCCTTTATTGGCCGGCTGCTATCAGGCACACTTTGCCCGCGAGCTGTCCGTGTTATTGCCGCCGCGTGTTCTCAAACACGCGTGTTGAGAGCTCGCTTGAGCAGTTCAGCTTGAAGGGTCTTGAAGCAGACATGAAATTTGATGAAGTCAATGCAGTCCTTTTTCGACTGCGGAGGTATGCCATGAGTATTTCGATAAAGGTGATGATGCTGATGCTGATGGTGATGATGATCATGACGACGTTGATTCAGCGGAAGGCCACAGCAAAACGAAGATGAAGATGTTGCTGTTCACAATTGCCAGGATTGCGATGCTGATGACTACAGCGAGGATATTTGTGCTTGTATCGACCATGATAGTGGTGCTGGTGCTGGTGCTGATGCGAAAAAGGCGATGGTCCATGGCGGTGCTGGTGGTGGCCGTGACGATGGCAAGGACGATGACAACAATGATGATACTGATGATGATGTTTAAGGGGGGAGGATGATGGTGATGGCTATGCTTCTGGTACTTATGTCAAGACGTATGATGGCCTTTCGGTCTGCAAGAGAAGTATCCTGTCAACTTAGATGATGCTACTGGTGACGAAATGATTACGATGAAAATGATGGTGACACCGCGCTGCTGATGCTGTCGCTGCTCAGGCGGTGGTGATGATAATGATGCTGATGTTGATTTGCCAGGCAACCTTTTGCACTGCGGTTGCAGCAGCCACAGGCACCAGTCCCATCTTAATCATCGTGCTTTTCATCGCTGCCCTTGAAATTTCAATCAGCAGCTCTTGAACTGCGTTCGCAAAATTGCTGCCGTGTATTGCCGTGATTTATCCTTCATCGGTGTGTGGCACCCACGAAGACGCAACGCCACGGTCCTTGACATCTGAGCATCACGACATCTTCAACACCACAGGAACGACGCAAATCTCTCATGACCTCAAGCAAGCTGCGACAAGCCCGGAGGTTGGCACGAAGCTGCAGCAAGTCTTGTACAAGGAGTCGGGGACCAGGGAGCCCTCGTTCTGGTTCTTTCGTGCTCCAGAACAGATCACTGAATATTCGTGAGCTGCAGTTCCCTGCAAGCCACCGCATATAGTCGCATCTTCCGGCTGCAGGACGGTTAAATCCGAGCATTACACGTAGCATCAAATAAACGTTGCAGTAGTACATAGCAGCATAGCATTCATAGCATTATGGTGATGTGTATAGTAAGTAGCTGCTGAGTCACGGGCAGAGCAGCAGCCTTTTTTGGCAAGGCAAATCAAGTCACATGCCATTCAGCATGCCTGTCTCCAGGAGCGCAACCACATCGGTGCAAAGAAGTTCATACTCCCACAGATGCTTACAGTACTAGACAGCTGACGGCAAATAGCGGTAGTGCACAAGACAAGGGAATCGCAACAAAGACCTATGATGACATGTATAGTAATGAGCTGCTGAGGCAGAGCACTAAGCGTTAAGGAAGAAAAATCAAGAAATATGCCATTCTGCATGCCTGTCTCCAGGAGCTCAACGACATTCGGCGCAAGCAAGGTCATCCTCCTGTAGATGCGACCGGAGTCTCTCGGTGGATGATGCGCTTGCGGCCGTCAGACGGTTTCGGGCCTATTGCGCTTCAGCATTCTCTTATTGCACAGACTGGTGTTCGAAGAATCTAATTGGCCAGATGGTGTGAGAGAAGCTACTGTATGTTTTTTTGGTTTGTCTCTGTTGCTTGAAGGGGTTGCCGTACCTCCGCTGCGTGTGTTGCACAGTGTGAAGCACGTTGTGCCTTGCAAGCCGACTGAAGCGCCTGGAGCGTCAAGAGAGCTGCACGCGGCCACAACCTGCAAATTCGACTTTGCACACTTGCTAGATTCGGCCTTTCTTCAGAAGGTTTGTGTCGCCGGACTAGACAGTTGCAAGCTGAGGTCATTGCGCAGGGCCACTGCCTGGCTCACAGACCTGATGTGGCCCAGGCCGGGAGTTGCGCACTGTGTTTTCGCTTTCTTAGCCGGTACCTTCGAATGCAGCCTTCCCCAATCTCGAGCCGATATTCTTGTGTCCTCGCGTTCGCGTGGGGCGAAGCCATGCGCCCGTGCATCCTGCATACTCTGCTAAAATTGTGTCCGAGCATCCAGTATCAAATCTGGCCTTCAAGTCAGCAGCTGGAGCTGTTTGACTTCGCCTCAACGCGATACCGGGTTCAACAACCCGTTCCACAGTTGCAGGGGCTCGGAACAAGTTTCTGGAGCTCGCCGCGGTCTCAAGCGTGTAATGTACGCCTTTGATTAATAAATGGGGTGGGATTAATAAAATAAATATTCGGGCCCGTTCTGCGGATCGCCTTCTGGGAAGACTACAAGCCTGCAACCGGTCCCCGGATGCCCAAACAATTAAATGGGGTTGTAACAATATAATAATTATT